AATATATATATATATATATATATATATATATATATATATATATATATATATATATATATATATACCATGTGTTTACGACCGGTTCCGTTTCTGTCCGAGAAAGAGACGTTGTGGAGAGCGGGATAAAAGTTTGTTTGTCCCTGTTGTGTGTGTATCCATTGTTTCGCGGCGTCTCACACGCCGGTATTGATCACCGTTTCCGAGCACCCTCGCCGACGCCTTCGAAACGCTCTTCCTCTCCTTCGATCGGCTCGGGCACAATAAAGCCTCGTTTCCATGAAACATACCGAAGCTTCATCGCGGCCGAGAACCATCCCCGATCGCGCGCTGCATCCGCGAGCCAGTTGGCCGCCCAAGGTCGCCGAGAGTTCACACCTTTGCTCACCCTAACGTCCCCCAACGATTTCCTCAAATACTGCCGCTTGCACTTCGAGCGCATTTTTGTCGTCGAAGTCGACCATTGTCGCGCATACGTTCCATACGATTTTAAAGTCCTGATCTTCCTCTTTCGGATGCATTTTTTATTTTTTTTTTTATTTTATTTGTAACTTGTGGCGTTTAATCGAAGAGAGATTCAGGGGACGGAAATCGCACTTGAAATAAGTGCAAGATATACTGTAATGTCTCTCTAATTGACGCCCAGATTGTCCATAAAACTGGACAATTTGGCAAGAGGCGACAATTTGGCGGCTCGTTTTTATAGTTATAAATTGTCGATCATTATAAAAACGAGCCCCGAGGCTCGGATAAATCGTATCTCCTCTTCGCAAATTGACGCTCAATTGTTCAAAAAGATTGGGCAATTTTGGGAGAGGAGATATGATTATTGGAGCCCTACGGTTCATTTTTATACTTATGAATTGTCAACAACTATAAAAACAAACCGGAAGGCTCGAATAATCGTATATCCTCTTCCCAAATTGTCCATTTTTCTGCACGATCTGAGCGTCAGTTAGGGAGACATTACTGTATGTTGTGTTCCTTTATACTACTACTTTTTATAGTTACAGATTTATAGTTAGAGCGATTAAATCTAATCGCATCTTCTCTTCCCAAATTCTCCATTTTTGTGGACAATCTCTGCGTCAGTAAGGGAGACATTACTGTAGTACCTTAAAATTCCTCGGATATTTCGAATCGATTTCTCTGGTTGCTATATTCGAAAACACGTTTCCTTAAGACAATTCTTTAAACGATCTTTCGCTTTGTAATTTAATCTATATCTATTTTTGTCGCAATATAAAGAAGTGCACCTTGAAGAAACAGATAAAGAGCGCGTTCGACGCAGTAGAATTTCCAGCCAGTAGGATTTCTACTTCGGTCATCCGTTTAGCACGCAATTTGCTAGAGCCACAATTTTCGATCAAGAACATTTCGAAAAACCCGTAGCATCGGCACACGCCGACAGGATCCGGCAGCGAAACGCGCGTCGCCGCAGCCGGCGCCGCGCCGGCGAAAGCAATTTCCCTGAATCTCTGCTCTTCGAGGTACGCCGCAGTCTGATCACGATCGCGAAACCTTAACAATTTACATTCACCTTAAAATATTAATCCCCCCGGTGAAAGAAGGAAGGTCGGCGAAGAAGCCTTGAGAGACCAAAGCGACTCGTCCCGGCTCGACAAAGGCCGAGCTACCGGAGACCCGTGGATATCGTAGAAATTAATTCAGCATAAATGGCGTAAAACGAAGAGTCGTTCGCCGGTGGAACGGGCGACCGGTTCGACCGTGGGGTGGCGAAGGGGAGGAGGGAAAAAAATATTCGCTGACAGCGAATGAAGCCGTCACACCGATCGAACCGTTCGCGAGCTGAATTCTTATCTGGAGACGAGCCGAGACGAGAAAACGCTTTCCCCCACACCCCTGGTCACCCCGCGCGCACCCGCCATTCCCAGAGTGGAATCCCGAACCGGACAGACAGAATACAAGTATCCGTGGTCCGTGAATCAGAAATTCAGGCTGGGATCGCTCGGACACCGTAATCAATATTCCGAAGATCGTCGTCCCCCGCGCCCGTCATGGCGGCCGGCTCGATGGAATCTCTCCTCTCCTCATTGTCAGTCGAAGGCTTCCCTCGAGCTGGGCCAACTGGCGATAAGAGAGATCGAACGCTGTCGTTTCGGGAGCGTCGTCGACTTCTGGATAAGAGGTCGATCGGGGACGAGACGGTGAATTCCAAACGAAACGGGAAACGCTCTCCCGGCTGTGTGCCGCCGTGAAAAGGGCACCGGACGCTGGGACGCGGCTTTTTAATTACTTCGACCCGAGCGAGGGTCTACGGTTCCCGATGAACCGGCGGGGGCATCAACCTTTTGCGAACCTAATCGGCAATTCCTCAAACATTTCTGGCTCTCTCTCTCTCTCTCTCTCTCTCTCTCTCTCTCTCTCTTTCTCTCTTTCTGTCTCTCTCTGTTGGAATACGACCACCTGGTTATTTGCGAATACTAGTTTCTTTTTTGTTTCTTTTTTAATGCAACATTGGATTCCTTGCTGGTTTACGCGGTTGCTCGATGTTTTCGCTCGACGAACGTCGATAGGAAAATTAGGATAGAAAACGGAGAAAAACTAAGTGGAGGTCGAAGTCGGTTCGAGTCGAGTTTGTTATGGTTTTAAGAGCTTCTTGCGCGATGCTGATAAAGCTAGTTTAAATAATGTTCTTTTTATGCACTGTCAATTGAAGAAGTCTTTGTTCACCCTTTAATTTCCGGAAGCAGAACAAATGATTTTGTTTATATATAGAACTTCTGTTAGACGTGCGAAAAGGTTTTGGAAAGCTTGCTACGCTATTCTAGAATATTAAATGCTTTATTCTGGAATATAATATTCTAGAATATCAAATGCTTTATTCTAGAATATAATATTCTAGAATATTAAATGCTTTATTCTAGAATATAATATTCTAGAATATTAAATGCTTTATTCTAGAATATAATATTCTAGAATATTAAATGCTTTATTCTAGAATATAATATTCTAGAATATTAAATTCTTTTTATGAATGCATAAGATATGCAGTCTAGCAATTACAAGAGCAAAATTCGTTTACGTTAACGAGCCCTTCCTGGCTTCGACTTGCCACGTCAGCATTACAGAATTATATTTATATTATTTATTAAATTATTATATTCATTTCGTATGTTCTCGCAATCGTAGAAGTTCGCCAGATTTGTATAGACTTTTGTGTACATTTTCCGCCTCCCCGCGCTATTTTGCTCTTAAAAGTACAGAATATTGAAGTCACTCGTAAGAGATCGTTCACCGAAAATTGAAAAAAAAAGAAACCCGAAAATCATGACCAATCATTTCGCGAGAAATCAATAACGCGACGTCGATTCCAACAGAGGAGGAAGCCCAGCTTTGAGCCTCATTATTTCATTGATCAATTCACACGGTCCAAAGGTTTGTGCCTCGATCCGCTCATTAAAAAAAGTCATTAAAAAAGCCGCGTCTCGACTTCCGGTCCCCGGAAGATCGGGGTCAATCATGGCCGAGCGACAGCTCAATGACTCTCCCACTCTTTCTCGCTATCTCTGTATCTCTACATATATTATATATCTATATATATACACGCAGACACAAAATCGTCTCTCTCTAAATATACATATAATTTATATGTATGTATATATACATGTATACATGTATATACAAATATATACATATATGCACATATATACATACACATATATAATATCGTATAAGTATATATAATATCGTATACATGATGTGTGTGACGTAGTTTCCAACTTGTGTCTGTCACGTGTATACCACTCTATGTTGGATGAGTCTGCGGGTGACTGCGTTCATGTTGGCGTGACTGGCGAATACAGCGTGTGTGATGGGTACGCTTGATTTAGTGTGTGTCTACGTCTATTGTTTCTGTAACGGCGTGCGGAACATTGCGAAGGAGCACTCGATTTCGTGGCGATAAAGGCTCGCGCGCGTGTTCAGGCGGGTCGAGAGAGAGCTCCTGACCCCTCCCCCTCCCCTGGCACCGTGGTTCCGGAAGCCGTCGTCCTCCTGGGAGCCAGGAGGTGCCAGAGGTCTCCCGGAAGCAGGATCCAGAGGTCTAAGAAGGGTCTAGGGTTCCGCTCGGTCGGCGGGAGGGAGGAGCGCGTCTCGATCCGTAGCAAAATCCTTCGCGACACGCGTGCACACATGTATATACGACATGTATATGTCGCTGTTTCTCGCTCGATAGATTCGCTGGTCGTACTGGCTTCTTAAGAACGCATCGAAGATTCATTCGATGGCGATGCTTTTAAACGGAAACGATTGCTCGCGCAATGCTGCGTACGCGCGTCCGTTTTTTGCCCGCTACACGCGGGTTCTGTGACCGTGGTAACGCCCTTTCTTCTCGTTGGTTTTTCCCACACGTAGTACGTTCTGGAATTCCTTTACACCGTGGTAAGTTGCAGCTCAAGCTCTCGCTAATCGTTTCATTTAACCAAGCAAACTTCTTTTGCCAAAAAAAAAACAAAAAAAAAGATAATACGAAAAAAAAGACATAACTAATGACAATGCTAAGAACATGAATGAACAGAAATATGCTAAAGACAATGAAAACCAAAAAAAAAAACAAAAAAAGAAAAGAAAAAAAAGCAATGAACAAACGTGTAACCATCTATTGCTCGTTTCGCTCGTAAAACATTCATCTTACATGTTTTTTCGTATGTCCCGTATTTGTATCTATCTATTCTATTCTATTCTATTCTATTCTATTCTATCTATATATGTATACGTATGTTGCCACCTTTAGCCTGCGTTTTTTCGAACTGTATGGTCCACTTGTTTCTTTCTCGTTTCCATTTTTTCGATCACGACCCCCTCCACCCCCAGTTGTCTCTGTATACCTTCGGTCGCCTCGTACATACGAAACCTGCCTGTTTCTCTTCATTTCTCTCTCTCTCTCTTCCTCTCTCTCTCTCTCTCTCTCTCTCTCTCTCT